ATCCTCCAAGAAGAAGCTTGGTTTCACCCTCTCTAAGATAAACTGATTTATTTTCTTGGTAGTCCATAGTGTGCTTAAGACTCTTCACCAGCACCACAACTTAAAGGCATTGAGTTTTCTCCTGTCATCCTTAGTCATTGTTTAGCTCTCTGATACAAGTAATTGTGAAGACCATGGACTGGATCAGGCACACCTTAGCCTCCAGACCGACATTGTTGCTTCTCAACAATGTCTCTAACAACAGATTTTCCCACTGCAATACGCCCTTTGATTTCCTGACTGCTGGTGCCAAGAGTGTTGATTGTGGAGCTGAACAAGCCGTAATTGCGAACAACCTCAATCTCTTCTCCATCTACCAGGGTGCTGTCAATTGGCCCAGTGGTGAGAATCTTTTTTTTTCCCCCCTTGATGTTGAGCTTCAATCCATATTGAGGGCTGAAGTCTTTGACCTCCTCCAGCAAGTACTTCAGGTCCTTTTCTGTTTCAGCAAACAAAGTTGTGTCATCTGCATAACATAGGCTGTTGATTAGTCTTTCTCCAGCCCCGATGCCACATATATAAAAGTGAAAACTATTTCTTTTTTTATATTAGGGCTACTGTTATGTGACACTGTTGTGTCAAATGTGTTAATGGCTGGTTACCCAATGCGGACAGAGAGTGGGGTGGAGCTCCCTGATTAAAACAAGTTTGGAAGGAGGAGTGGTATCCACTTCCGTAATAGTGTGCCTCTGGAAACCCTATGAACTTGGAGAGAGAATGAGACACACCCAAGCATTGAGGACTTCCTTCATAGGGTTGCTATGAGTCGCCTGTGACTCGATGGCACTTAACAACAACAACAACAAGCAACAACAACAACTATTATGGACATTTATGTGATAGTCTGGAACCATTTACATGAGAGGCATGAGGAGTTTAAATATGGCTCCAGGTATTACCCGGTGCCCTCTTTTAATTTGTTGTGGAAAATTGCTGCCCAAACCAGAAAAATATGACTGAAGGAATTGAGGGAAATATTTCATGGACCAAATAAACCTATACACGTGTTATTTTAGATTATGAAAATGTACACATTTCATTGCTCTTTGCTGTTAGAGACCTAGCAGTAACCTTGGTCTCAGAACAGACAGATCCCTGTTGCAGTTGTCATGTCAGCAAGCTACATGCCCACAGCTCAGCCACTTCACCTCCCTGAGCCTCTATATGCTTGTCTATAGCCTGAGGGCACTGGACAAACAGAGCCAGAGCTTTTACTGGGTTTTACACAGGATTTTCTCTCTCTAATGCACAGAACGCTTTTGGCCCACCTCATCTTAATCATTTTTATGTATTCATAAAGAAGTAAAGCTGACTTGTGATTGATAGCTGATGGGTGGGTGGGTGCATTCATATGAAAGGTGCAACACTGTTTTTAGACAGACACTGTTTCCAGCCTTTTGCTGAGAACACTGGCTGGTGATGAATGTTTACCTTGTCAATTCCTGAACCTGCATTTGTTGTGGGGAAGCGGCAGCTGACTTCCTTCCTCATGTTCTCCTCTGCAGACGGGGTGAGGTGTTTTGTTCACTTGCCAGCTGCAGTTTTCTCCTTCGTAATCAGTCATGCCTCTTGTCTCGTCCATGACGTGTTTCCGTAGTCTGTAGAGCTGAGGACGTGATGATATGCCTCTGCCTCCCATTGGGCTTCGCAGGATCGGGCTAGGCCACTGAAGGTTGATTTAAAAAGCGGACACTGGATGAAAT